CCTGCGCGCACGGGCACACCCAGAGGCGGTGAAACAGGGTGTCCTTAGCGCCGCAGCCCAGCGGGCACAAGCTGGAGATGGGGTAGCCTAAGTCGGCCGCATCGCCTGCAGTCCAGCAGGCATTGGTGGCCAGGGCTCGGATCATACCCTTCTTATCCCCAGGAATTTTCTTGGACGCAAGGAGCCTCTTTGGGACGTCCCAACAGAGACGGGCACCCGCCTGAAACTTATCCCCAGATTCCCACTCAAGGCTCCGAAAAACAGCCTCCTTGCAAAAAAGCTTCACCAGTTTGGGCGGCGACAAGGTGAGAGAAATCTCGTGACCAAAATCGTCCACGATGGTAGTAAAATTGGGTATGGTCCAACCAAGCCTATACAACGACATTCGAAGTCCTGAGATAGGTCCCGAAACTTTGGCCCAGGTCCAGTCATCTTTTTTGAAAACCGAACTCCACCCAGTCCGAAGCTCGGCCCAACTCAGGGCCCACTCAAAGGCCCTCGTTTGACGGACCCACACCTCCTTGGCCCAACGGACGATAGGGGCGCAGCTGGCCCTCCACGTAGGGCCCCCCTCTAAAAGACACAACACGGCAAGGGACCTACCCTGAGCGGAGGGTTTGACACAGGACATGGCTAAGCGTCGAAGCGTCGAAGCGTCGTCGAAGCGTCGAAGCCCCATGCAAATCCGAACCAACACAGCCCCAGCTAAGGGTCCAGCGGCGAAGATTTTGACAACCTTGCGCCCCAGAGTGGGGCCCAGTCTCCCGAGACGCCGAGCTTTCCTGAGGGCCGCTGCCGCCCTCTGCTTAGCCTTGGAATGCCTATTCCGTCCAGGAGCTCTGACCGCTCTGCCAGCCGTGAAATCCACACCTAAGTTGGTCACCCGAGAGCAATCTGGATCGCCAACTAAGTCCCCGAGCTCAGCCGAGAGCGCAGCAGAAATGTGCTTGCTGCTGGAGACCATGCCAACCTTGTCCATGGTCAGCTTGCACTTGAGACTCTTCGCGATCGCAGAGTGCAGAGCTCTAGCTCCTGAAACAAGAAGCTTCAACACACAGTTGGGCTTGCCTGTCGCGCTGAGGCTCAAATCGTCAACATAAACGTCAAAATCAGGTCCCCTCGGGATGGAATCGAAAGCTTCAAGGGCAAACACCCTAATAAGACCCGTTGCGAAGGTACAACCCGCGACGATCCCTTTCAGGGCAAAAAAGGGGCCGTCGACACCCCCCCCCCCAGGGTCATGAACCTCGCGCAGGAATAAGCGTGAATCGCGAGGCGCGCGATTCCCAAAGGGAACTGATACTGCTTACAGTTGGCCCCAAGAAAGCCCAAGTCAATGTGCTCGTAGTACTTGCGCAAATACCAAAAAATGACGCGCTGACCTGACCTCTGACCGTCCCCGACTCAGCTCTGAAGGCTTGCCCCCAGACCACATCCCCCGCACCACGGTGGGCCCCCGCCGCCCAGTAATGACGGCTGTGCTGGATTTCCCAACGAGAAGCTTCGAAACGACGGCACCTGCCCCAGACACGGCACCAACTCGGAAAAAACCCAATGGGTCGGAAGCCCCCGCAGGGCTTGGCCAGCAAGGCAACCAGCACCCAAGAGAGCTGGACAGGCAAGGACCCCGTGGCCTCCATGACCGAGAACCACAGAGACATAGCCATCAGAGCCTCGTCGGGGAGAAGGCTGAAATGACGGCAGTGAAAGCCGTCCAAGCTGACAGCAGAGGCAGGACGGTATTGCTTGGACATGCCCCTGATGACGTCGGGCTCGAGAGGGGGGGGGCATGGCAACAGCTCCTTACCGCAAAGACCCTGGCCAACACCTTCCCCCCAGATAGAAGTAAACTTGGCCGATTCAGCCTTGAGCAAGCTCATGGGATCTGACACCACAATGCCCGAGCGAGAAAGGGTAGCGGTGGGAGCCCAGGCCACAGGATCCCGAATAGCCCTCTGCGCATTACGCGACCCTTTCTCGAGCCCTTGACGCACCCATTCGTGCCAAGCCTTCCGAGAGGACTTGGCCGCGGATGCCTTAGCAGTGGCACAAGCTTCCGAAACTTCCCAGATGTGCTGATCGAGGTCGGCGGCCAGCTCGGGATCGGCCACCGAGCTCAGCAGACTACGCGCTAAGCCAGCGGCAGTGCGAAAAAGAGGCGCATAGTCTGAGTTCTCTGCCACCGCCACCGTCTCCGGCGGCTCCGCGAGCGCCGCCAGCACCTGACGACCTCCCTCTAGAAGGCCCTCAGGGCTCAAATAGCACCTGGAAGCACGAAGTTGACTGCCCAACCAAAGCACCGACCTGAGGGTAGAATCAGGCTCACGGCCCCCTTCTTTCATAATGCTCTTCCAATACATATGCGGCCGCTTACCTCTGGCTCCCTTGGGAAAATTCACCCCCAAGATGGCGCAGAGATCCCTCTCGGCCACATTGGCCCACGCACGGTGCCCAGGGGCCAGCATAGCTCGAGCCCGATCGCCTTCGCCCCCTTGCGCCGCCCGAAAAGCCTCGCGCGCCAGCCCAAGAGGGACCTCCCACGACCCTGGCTCAGGCTGCGGGCCAATCGGTGGCCCCACAAGCAGGTCGCGCGGGCGTCGGAAGGCGAGAGCCTTGAGATCACCTACAGACGCGTGGAAACGCAGCGACACAGGTCTGTGAGGGTGGATGGGCGAGTCCCCCGGCACATCGATCTGCTTGAGACCGAGGGAACGGGCGTGCGACACAACGAAAAAGTCAAAACGCTCGGGGTTGCCAACACTGGGAAAGTGAGTGTGCCCTTGGGAACTAACAATCACCCCATTAGCCTTAGCATGGAAGCCAGACTCAGCTAAAGTCTCGGGGGGGAAATTCTAATCGGCCCCAATGATGAACTCACACTCTAAACCCCCGATAAACTCCCCCACTGATTTTAAGATGGACAAATTGGCCTCTGACAGACCTTCGCTGTGGCGGAGGTAGAGGGAGAAGACGCAGAAGGTGGCGCACCCTGGCACGTGCACCAGGGCTGCTATCGCGCGGCCCTCGGCCAGCACGATCTTGCCCTGGTGCTCGAACATGCCAAGCGCGTCGCGCACAGATACTCCGACCCCAGAGGATGTGCCACCGCCCTCGCCAACAATACCTGGAGCCCAGAGCGACTTCCACCCCGAAAACTTGGCCCCTTTCGAGGCCGTTGCAATATCGTCGCCACCTCGTAGGCGATGCTCCTGTGCTATGACGATATGCGAAACACAGCTCGTGAGGTAGTTCTTCAAAGTGCCCCAACTGTTGGCGTTCACGGTGGACACCAGCAGGCCTTCGTCGAGCCCGCAACCCTGTGGTCTGGCTAGACCAGGCGTCGCTGGAGGCGCAGGGGCGGGGGCTGACCAGTCCATAGCCCCTCCCCGACTGGAGGCCCTGAGCGTACTTGCTCCAGCAAAAAGATCGGATTGCGGCAAGCGTGCGACCGCAGCAATGGCTGCGGGACCATCTCTCAACGTCTGATCTGCCAGACCAGGGAGAGGAGAGGGACGAGGATCAGGGATTTCTCGGTCACCTGGGGGCACAGGATGGAGGCCCCAGGGAAAAATAGGAGCAGGAAAAAAAACACACACACACACAGAGCCCTGGGACATCGAACGTAGCTTGCGCGCCAAACGCAAGCCAGACTTTTGTACTGAAGAGCCAACAGATGAGACTCGGCCTGTCAAAAAGTTGCAAAAAGAGGACAGGTCACCCGAGCTCGGGTTGCCACAATTAACACCGCTAGACAGACCCCCCCCTCAGGCGAGGGGGGGGGGGGGGGGGGGGGGGGGGGGGGAACACCTGACAAATGTTGGTCAGCCCGAGCTCGAATGTCAGCGGCTGCAGCAGCTGAGGCAGGCCTCGCGGCAGGCTGCGACGCGGCGCCTGGCTCAGAAAGCTCAGCAGCCTCTCCTCCACCTGCCGCGGCGCCGCGACCTGCTTCGTCATCGGCCTGAGCAGGAAGTCCTTCACCATCATCACCTTTTACGACGCTTGCGCTGAAGCCGTGCCTTATGAGCCTGGTGGGCTGCCTTGACCTCCGCGGCCGTAGAAGTGAGCTGATCGAACAATGACTTGGAGAGGTCCTGCACGCCAGACTGCAACTTCTCCAGCCGAGTCTGGTATTCCTTGCGATCTCCATCTGTGACATAGTACTCACTGCTCTCGAACTCCTCCATAATGTCAAACTTAATAATGCTCGTGGGATCGAACTTGCCCTCCATAATGTCCCGCAGCGGGATGGCTGGAGTGCTGCGCGGAGCCGAGGTCTCTCCAGCGCCTGTCGCGCCTGCGCCACTGCTGTCACGAAGCCGTTCGACCGCCGCGTTGTACGCCTCATCGGCCTTGCCGAGCTGGTCCCGCGACTGGCGAACCTGCTCCTCCAGCTCTGCAGTCTCCTGCTTCCACTTGAGCAAACGAGTGAGCTGCCCCTCAAGCTGCTTCTCAATGCGGCGGACAGCGGCATGCTGCTGTTGAACCTGCTGGCGCACATTGATCTCCGTAGGCTTGCTGGCGGCCTCCAGGCTGGCAGCCACGTCGGTATAGTACTTACCCCTCATAGCATCCCCCGCCTTGTACGACAGTGAGGCCATCTGCTTAGCTTCATCGACAGACAGCGCAGGAACAGGTACAGCGGGGAGCGGCGGGGCACCCCCTCACATCCCTGCGGGCTGCAGACGGCCTCCTGGGGTAGAACCATCCCACTCGAACCGAGAAGCAACATAGCAACCCTTGCCTTTGCCTTTGCCGATGCCTTTGCCGTCAGGCCCTCCTTTATTCCCCGAGGCGACACGAAACCACCCAGGCGGTCTCGACCAGTAGGACTGAGCAAGATGGCCAGCGCGATCAGGAGTAGTTGGAACCTGATGGAGAGGACCATGACAGTTTTTGCACCACTTCGCCGAGGGAGCGTTCTTACGACACCCGCAACCTGGGCACTTGGTAGGCGACTTGAAATTGTTGTACCACTTGCCACCGCCTTTGACCTGCCATTCTCCTTCCCCGTCATCACCCTCAGACGCTTGCACCCAAGGATTGTAAGTGAAGCGAGACGAAGAAGGAGCCATCGAGGATGTGGGCAGTGAAAGTGGCGCTTCGATGGCCTGAACGTGATGTGAATGATGCCTGGCGGGCGAACGCCAGGGAAAGCTGTCGGGGGCCGCGCGATCCCCCCTGCCAAATCTCAAATCCTTGAGCAACCGCTACGGACTTGAGCCAAAATGGCTACGGAGCCCTCCTCCCTCCTCCCTCTTCCTCCTCCTCCTCCTCCTCCTCCTTTTCCTCCTCCTCCTCCTCCTTCTCCCCCTCCTCCTCCTCCTCCTCCTCCTCCTCCTCCTCCTCCTCCTCCTCCTCCTCCTCCTCCTCCTCCTCCTCCTCCTCGTCCCCCTCCTCCTCCTCCTCCTCCTCCTCCTCCTCCTCCTCCTCCTCCTCCTCCCTCCTCCTCCCCTCCTCTCTCTCCTCCTCCTCCCTCCTCCTCCTCCTCCTCCTCCTCCTCCTCCTCCTCCTCCCCCTCCTCCTCCTCCTTCTCCTCCTCCGCCTCCTCCTCCTCCTCCTCGTCCACCTCGGTGGTTGGGGAGCTCATGACTTGTGGCAGAAGGCAATGCCAGCGTGTGGCTTCTCATGTCGCGCAGTTCTGTTTAGTCGTCCTCCTCCTCCCCCCATCAGTCCTCCTCCGCCTTTTCCGCCTCCTCCTCCCCATCAGTCCTCCTCCACCTCCTCCTCCTCCTCCTCCTCCCTATCAGTCCTCCTCCTCCTCCTCCTCCTCCTGCTCCTCCTCCTCCTCGGTGGTTGAGGAGCTCATGACTTGTGGCAGAAGGCAATGCCAGCGTGTGGCTTCTCATGTCGCGCAGTTTTGTTTAGTCGTCCGACAACCGGCCCCTGCATGCCCACAAGGCGTTCCTTCTGGTCTTCGGCACGGTTCCCCCTTCGCAGGGAACTCTCTCTCTCTCTCTTTCTCTCTCTCTCTCTCTCTCTTTCTCTCTCTCTCTCTCTCTCTCTCTCTCTCTCTCTCTCTCTCTCTCTCTATATATATATACACACCGACGCCCTCTGCGGCCCTGCAGTAAAACCTGCCCAGGGCAGCGGGTCATGGCGTATACGGGGTCCTGGTGCATTACGTGCCTCCTTGCTCCCCGCGGGGGAATTGGAAACAAACGTGTACACCGCAGCGCCCCGACGCCGCCCCCGACCCCGAACAGGTCCCTGGATGGGAAAAAACGCCCGCCGCTGGCAAAGTGTATATGCTCCAAGTCCCGACCATGATCTCCGAGAGGTCTCCCGCGTTGTCTCTGGCATGGCCTCCAGCAGAACCTCTCGTGTGGTCTCCCGTCTGGCTCTCCCACATGGTCTCCCATCTGCTCTCCCCGCGTGGTCTCCCGGCGTGGTCCGCCGCGTGGTCTCCCGCGCCTCCTCCTCTAGAAGACTCCCGCCCGCAGGGTCTCGCGCAAGTTCCACCGTGTGGTCTCCTGTGCGGCCTCCCGTATGCCTCCTCCTACTCTTCCGCCTCCTCCTCTTGTCCCCTCCTCCTCCTCCTCCTCCTCTCCCTCCTCCTCCTCCTCCTTCTTCCTTCTCCGACAACGAAAAAAAACACACGTCCAAGCGATGGCGAGTTTGCCTCCCGTAGGCACGCCTGGTATTGAGTCGAGCGTCCATGTGCTGTACAGGTCAGTCGAGTGCGCTTTCGTTCTCTTTAACACATGAGGTGTGGGGTATTGTGCCGCCAGGGTGTCATGCACGTCGCATGGTTTTGGCCGGGGTATGCAGAGAGAAGGGAAGAGGAGAGGGAGAACGGGAGGGATAAGGGCCCGCACTGCGCTTCAGAGTCCAGTGCTCCTACTGTTCTACGCAAGTGCAGCACAAACCTTCTCACCTTGAACAAACGTGACCACACCGGTTCGCCACACGTAGTGGACTGAACGCATGCGTAGGACGATCATAAGAATATCGTAATGCTACCACACGTCTTCTACTTCGGGGAGGGGGTTCCCTCTCCCCCTCCCCTCTCCTCCTGGGTGTGCAGAGGGGCGTTTCGCGACGGGGTGGAGCGTCAAAGACGGCCTAAGATGGTCCCAGAGAGCTCAAACATGGCCTGCAAGATCGCTCAAGATCCGCCACCGTGCCCCCCTGGCAATTGAGGCGTGGAAGAATGTCAAGATCTGTCTTGCAGTGTTGTCTGAATCATACCATCAGGCTCCTGCGTGCACCGCTCCTCCTTTTCGAAGCCAACTCCCTCGTGCCCGCTCGAGGATGGTGCACTTCCTGCATGGCAGCCAATGCCTGACCTAGTCCAAGCGTGCCAGATCGAGGATGGTGCGCTTCCCGCATGGCGGCTAATGCCTGAACCCTCATTCCATGAGCGCCTGCTCGAGGATTGTGCACTTCCCTCACGGCTGCTAACTCCTAAACTCCTCATCAAACGTTTACCCGCTCGAGGATCGTCCACTTCCCGCATTCCCAGGCGCTGCTCCCAAGCGCGCCAGGGCTTCCCAAGGCGCTGCTCCTAAGGCGCTGCTCCCAGGGCGCTGCTCCCAAGGCGCTGCTCTCGCGCCCGCATTCCCAGGCGCTGGTCCCAAGACGCCACGATCCCCCGTTAAAAACGATGAATGCGCATCCCGAGCTCCAAGACGGCCCGTGCAGGCAACCAAGGATACCAAAATGGCCGAATATGCATCGGAGACGGCCCAAGAGGGCCCCAAGGCGGCCGAATGTTGATTCAACTAGGGCTCCCAACTTCGCGCTTCGCGCTGCGCGAAGCGCGAAGCGCGAATAACTTCGCGCCCTCGCACCGCCCCCCCAAAGGGAGAATAGGAGGACGAGGAGGAGGGGGGGAAGGAACGAGGACCGCGAAGCGCGAAGCGCGAATAACTTCGCGCCCTCGAGGGAGCCCTTGATTCAAGACGGCCCCAGATGCCTCCAAGAGGAGCCACAGTGGCCACAAGAGGACCTCTAACAGGGTCCGAAGAGGCCAAACTCATCGATTCCTCGTTGGTCTTTCACTGATTTTAGCACTCTCGCCTTTTCGGGCCGTCGTCAGCTCAAGGATGCCCAAGATCGACTACACGCAAGAGTGACCCTGGGTAAGAATGACCTTTGGTGCGCGGCTTTTTGGTCACCGCGGGGGGACCAAACGCAAGCGCGCAAGACGCTACTATTGCATCGCGTTTGGCGACAGGGGGAACCCATTTGGCCCGCACCAAAGGTCACTCCGGCAAAAGTTCACTCTTACGTCTAGTCGACAAGAGGGCTCCACGATAGCCCAAGAGTTGGCGGCGCGCAAAAGGGGGTAGGGGGAGGGGGGAAGGCTTCTTAGAAGCACCCTGCTTCTTAGAAGGCCTCGGCCTTACGTCTATAGAGAATGCCCGCGCCTTCCAAGAAGCCGGGGTGCTTCTACGAAGCCTTCCCCCTCCCCCTACCCCCCTCTGCGCGTTGCCGAAAGAGGCATCCAAGACGGCCCCAAGACGGCCCTCGAGGGCCTCCCATGGGACCCAAGACGGCCTCAGACAGCCCGTGGACGGCCCAAGGCGGCGCCGAGACGGCCCCGCGACGGGCCCCAGACACCCCCGCCATACGGCCACGAGGGCCACACGACTGCCCGAGAGAGCCCCAGGCCGGCGCAAGAGGGCCCCACGACGGCCCACGGGGGCACCAGGGGACTCCCAAGACTGCCTCTTAGGAGGCCACGACAGGCCCCAAACGGCTCACACGCGTGCCAACATCATCAGCATGATCATCATCAGCATGATCATCATCAGCAGCAGCAAAAGCAGCAGCAGCATCACCAGCATCATCCATATAATCCCCATCAAGTTCATCATCGTCATCATCAGCATCATCATAATCAGCAGCAGCAGTGTCGTCGTCATCATCAGCAGCATTATCATAATCATCATCGTCATTGTCATCATCATCATCATCATCATCATCATCATCATCATCATCATCATCATCATTACCATCATCATCATCATCAGCACCAGCATCATCATAATCATCATCATCGCCATCACCACCATCATCATCATCATCATCATCATCATCATTACCATCACCAGCACCATCAGCAGCATCATCACCATCACCATCACCATCACCATAACCATCACCATCATCATCATCATCAGCATCATCATCATTATAATCGCCATCAGCATCATCAGATTCGGCATCATCATCAGCATTTTCAACATGGTCATCATCATCATCATCACCTGGCAAACTCCATCACCACCACCACCACCATCATCATCATCATCATCATGATCAACATCATCGTCACCATCGCAATCACCATCGCTGTCGCCATCGTCTTCTACGTCATCATCATTGCCATCATCATCATCATCAGCATCATCATCATCAGCATGATCATCATCATCAACATGACCAGCACCATCATCAGCACTACCAGCACCACTGTCATCATCATCGTCATCAACGCCGCCTGCACAAGGATCAGCTTCATCATCACAAACATCATGATCATGAGCATGAGCATCATCATCACCATCGTCGGGATCACTAAAATGGCCACGCGATGCCTTCCAGACACTGCCACAGCGAACGATCTGCGAAGGCCTTGAAGTTTACTCCTGTCGTTGCAGTCGTGGTCTTAATCGCGGTCGTCGTCCTATTGTGTGTTGGATGGGCTAGGGGATACTTTTTTGATCTGCGGCTCAAAGGACGACTCCAGAGAGCGGGTCAATGGGCTAGGGGATACGCGAAGCGTCAAGAAGTTGCAACTCTCAGACTTCGAGATTGCAATCAGCGAGCCTAACCGAACAGTCGCAACATATGCAACACCACAATTAGCACGACCACAAACCTATCTATCTGCGTCGCTGAATCGATTGTGCACATAGCTCCTCTCGCGGTCCGACAGGATTCCTTCGCTGCTGTCAGATGAGCTCGAAAATTGACACCTGTGAGGCGCGGCCGTATAGGACGCCGACCTCTCCATCATATGGCGCACGATGTCCACGAGAAAACACTTGCAGAC